AAAAAAACATACTTTATAGAATGTCTGCAATCAGAAGATGATTGAGGATCAGAAAAGCTGCAGTTCATATTGCCTGATTTGTGAGAATGTAAAGTGGTATAATCACTGGAGAATTCTTTAACATCTTCTTTGTAAGTTAAAAACATAAATGTATCATCCAATGAAGCAGTTTCCTTAAGAGAAATGAAAACATACTCACACTATAACTTTTGCATGTGTGTGCATATTTATAACAAGCCCAAACTGGAGACAAGCAGAGCCCACACAGCATATCTGCACCACTGAATAGAATTCATCCTTGGAAATCTAAGTGTTGTGAAACCTTGGAAGTAATAGGATAAGATGCATAAAATTACATATTGTTCAAATCCGTGTATGTGAAATGTCAAAACATAATGCAAAGCTATGGAGACAGGGTGGCTTGGGAGGTGATTACAGGCAGGCATGAGGGAGCTCGGTTTTTGCTGGTGCAAGTGTTGCAGTCTGGATTGTGTGATAGTTAAAGGACTCTGGAAATTGATAAAAAGTTATTGAACTTTACACTTATATTGGGCAAGTTTTGTAGCATATAAGTCATACTTCAATAAGCTGGGGTTTTTTTCCCCAAAGGGAGGAAAGGGTGGAAAGCAAGAGGAAGTACTAGGTATCCTCCATGTGCTTGGCTCTATCGTCTACTGAGTGCCCTGTAAGGTGTGTGAGAGCATCTTGTTAAGCCTGCTTCTCCACATAGAGTGCTTGGGTAAATTAAACTACCAAGAATTTGAATCATAAAGGAGGTATATGAATTGGAACATGACTCCATGGCGGGGAGGATTCATCTAAAGATCATGTTGGTGTTTTATGTCATAGTGGTTATATGATTCTCAAATTGGAGATGCTTACCTAAGATGTGAATAGTATATTACAACCAGGAAAAAAAAAATGCTGGATAGTTTTTGAACTCATCACTTCCAAGCCTAGATTAAATGCATTGATTTGGCTGGGATTGCCTTAGTAAGCCTACAAGACATAACAAGATGCTGATTTATTTGATTATACAGTGAAGAAGAAAATTTAATAATCAGTGTAAGCCTTTTTACCTCAAGATTTGAGGTTTTGTGAAAATGGGCAATTTCAGGTAAAATCGGGTTTCATAAAATGAAAAATAGATCAAGAAAAGATTGAGGGGGGGCCGGGAGGGGGGAGAACAAGGGAATCCATGGCTGATATGTAAAATTAAATTAAATTATAAAATTTTTAAAAAAAAAGAAAAGATTGAGAGTATTTGAAACTTTTTGTCTGTAGAAGAGAAATAGGAAAGTACATTTATCTTCCTATAAAACCAAGGGGCTAGATCTTAGAAGAGGATGCATTGGGGAAGTCCTTTTGAGTCTACTGGACAGGTTCACCACAGCAGCAGGTGTACAGGGCAGGGTGTGGGCCAGTAGATTTACTGAAGAAATAATGAAGGGGTGGGCTTAATAATGCCAACACTGGTGTATTGTGTCTGGTGTCCATGGAGGCAAGAAGAAGGCCTCAGATCCCCTGGAACAGATGGTTGTGTGCTTCCATGTTGGTGTTAGGATCAAACCTGGGTCCTCTGCAAGAGCAGCCAGTGCTCTTATCCACCAAGCCATATCTTCAGCCCCCATTTGCTTTTTTTTTTTTTTTTTTTTCCAGTAGAAAATGGATGCTGGGGGGGGGAAATTGTTTCTTTCAGAGTTGTCTTATTGCTCTTGTCTATTAAAGTAGGACTCATAGCTTTGGCTTTTAAATTGTTTATTATTATTATTATTATTAATCATTATTTTCTGTAGAAGTGCTAAACTAGGTTACTAAAAAAAGAGCAGTTAAAGATTAATGGACAGGTTAATGATCCCCTTCATTCTAGATACTGAAATGACTAGTTTTCTAAACCCATTTACAGGAAATTAGGTCATTTCCTAATCTGAATCTCTTTTCAGGCACTACAGACACCACATCCAACAACACAGCCACCGTGATTTCCACAGCACCCCCTGCTTCGTCAGCAGTCACCTCTCCCTCCTTGAGTCCCTCCCCTTCTGCCTCAGCCTCCACCTCTGAGGCCTCGAGTGCCAGTGAGACCAGCACAACACAGACCACCTCCACGCCTCTTCCCTCCCCTCTCGGGGCCAGCCAGGTGATGGTGACAGCATCTGGCTTGCAAACAGCAGCAGCTGCTGCTCTCCAAGGAGCTGCACAGTTGCCAGCAAATGCCAGTCTTGCTGCCATGGCTGCTGCTGCAGGACTCAACCCCGGCCTGATGGCACCCTCACAGTTTGCTGCTGGGTAAGAAGCTTTCCCATCTCATTTGCAACCAAAACAGAATGTCTGTGAAGAGACATCATGACCACAGAAACTTTTGTAAAGAAAAACATTTCATTGCAGCTAGCTTACAGTTTTAGAGATTTAGTCCATTGTCATCTTGGAGGGTAACATAATGGCATGTAGGCAGACATGGTGATGGAGAGTTCTACTTCTTGATATACAGGAAACAGGAAATGAACTGTCTACCTCACTGAGCATAGCTTGAGCAAAGGAGACCTCAAAGCCCACCCCCACAGTGGTACACTTCCTCCTACAAGGCTATGCCTGCTTATATAAACCACACCTCCTAATAGTACCACTCCTGCTGGGGCGGGGAGGGCATTTCCTTTCAAAACCCCACACACAACTAACTAGGAACCCATCACTGCAACTCATAGGGAAGATTTTTCATTACTATCTTAAATGAAAGCAAATCTGAGATAGGCTCCTTGGATTATAGATTTCTAAGTAGCCACACTACCATTTCCACAGGATGACACAGGACTGAGTCAGTGAGTAACTCAGTGATGAGAGCCAGGAGAAAGCTCAGAATCCTCCTTAGTCTTCATTTCTTCAGTAAAGTAGAGCTTACCTACTCTAATTCTCAAAAAAATGGGTAAAACTTGGAGTGAAGTCATTCTGGTTTTATGTATTTTTCATATAGTTTTTATTCTCTGATAATTTCATACATGTATACAATGTATTTTGATCATATCACTTCCCAAACTGCCCTGAACTCTCCCACACACTTCATGTTTCATGTCTTTTTTTTTTCTTCTTCAAGTAACCAGTCAAATTAGTGCTGCCTCTGTGCATGTGAGTGTAGAGACGTCCACTAGAGCATGAGTAACCTACCAGTGTGACCCCCCAAAGACAAATTCTCCTCCCTCTTTCAGCACCCAGCAACTACCAGTGGCTCCTCAGCTAGGGATGGAGCCTCTGGAGCCCTTCCCTATCCACACTGTAGTTTGGCTTGATCTTGTTCAGGTGGCCACAGCTGGTTAAGCAGTCATTGAGGGCAACTGCTGTGTCATGTCTAGAAGAGACTTCTGCAGTAGTCTCCCCAGCCTCCAGCTCGTACATCCTTCCTGTAAGAAACAGCTTCCTCAGTGTTCTATGAATCTTGGTGCTAGGAAGATGGGCTTAATGTAGATGTCCTATTTAGGGCTGCATACTCCACAGTCACTTACTCTTAACAATTTGACCAGTTTTGTGGATCTACATTAGTCTTATCCATTGCAAAAAGAAACTTCTCTGACCTGGGTTGAAAGCATCCATAGATCTGCAAGTATTAACATAACTACTTCGAAGGCAGTTCACTGTAACCATTTAACAAAACAACAATAGTTCGTTTCTGCTCCCACCCTCATCCCTTAGCCCATGACCTCCCCATCCATGGACTTTTGACTAGATTTATGTACCAGGTGTAAATTTCCTTCTATAAATAAGCCTCAAATCAAATCAGAAATGAGTTGTCGACCCTACAACAGTCATACCACTGTTGTACCAATGGATACATCTTTCCTGATTGGTCAGTATTGTAACATACAGGATCTAGCATTGAGTAAGACTAGTGATATCTTTTCTCCCCCAGCTGCCTGTCTGTGTAGCACCTCTTGGCACTGTGAAAGCTAGCCAGCAGGGAGGAAGTTTCCTGGTCAGTTCCAGATTGTTGTTTCTATATCCTGCAACCTAAGTACATGTGTGTTCAGTAATAGGGTCTTACAATCTAGTTATGATGGACAACTAAGAGCAATGGCAATATCCTATAGTGTTTGTTTATTTTTTTTAGAGGGTTGGCCTCTGGAGCCTCCCAGACTGATAACTTGTTGGGAAGGATCCCATGAATGGCACCTAGATTTTTGTTTAATTATCCTCTGGGGACAACATTGTTCACCCATGTAGGGTAACCTCTGTTCAAACTCCTTCTGTTTTGTTGTTGTTGTTGTTATTGTTGGGGGTTTTTTGGGAGGGGGTGTGTTGGTTTTTCAAGACAGGGTTTCTCTGTGTAGCCCTGGCTGTCCTGGAACTTGCTGTGTAGACCAGACTGGCCTCAAACTCACAGAGATCCACCTACCTTCTGAGTGATCCTCTGCCTTCTGAGTGCTGGGATTAAAGGTGTGCACCACTACTGCCTGGCTTTCTGTTATTTTTTTATTGTGTGTTTTAATTAGCTTATACACAGAGGATTTCCATAAGGCTTTTCATACATCCTTAGTTTTTGTTGACCTACTTTCCTTCTCTGCCTCCATCCCTCACTCCATCTATGCTCAAACCTTCAATCTCCATAATTCTTTCCTCTTTTCATACCACACACATATCTCCTACCCCATTAAGACCTCTTGTCTTCTCCCTCTAATGGACCCTTTCAGGCTTTCTGACCTACAGTTACTCCAAGGTAAACATAAGCAACAGATTCAAAGCTAGGAGTCACATATGAAAGAACACACGGCCTCGGTCATGCTGGGCCCACACTGTTCACTTGATGTTCTCCAGTTCTGTCCATTTACCTGTGGATTTCAGTTTTCTTTACAGCTCAATAACATTCCGTTGTCTGTTTGTACCAGTGTCATTATCATCAGTCTATGTTAATGCCATTTATTTCCTAGCTATTATGAATAGAGCAGCAATGAATGTTTTTGTTGTCAAATAGAAAGATTACCCTTTCCAGTTAAATGAATGAAGTAATTCAAAGAAAAGTCAGAGTGACTGGAAGTTTTATATTTTATGCAGATCATAACCTTGTTTGTACAAGTAAACATCAAAGAAGTAGTAACTTGGAAGCACTCACTGAACCATATGAAAGTATACGGAAAGTAACAAAGATACCGATATTTTTCCTAAGCTGAAGTTTTCTTTATTATCTCTATGATGTTATTATCGATCTGGGTATGCTGCCAGACTGACAGGGGTGTCTGCATGACCTAGAGTGACTCCTCTTTTCACTTGCAGAGGTGCCTTACTCAGTCTCAATCCGGGGACTCTGGGCGGTGCTCTCAGCCCAGCCCTAATGAGCAACAGTACACTGGCTACCATTCAAGGTCAGTAGCATTCTTTCTCTCTGTGTGTGTGTGTGTGTGTGTGTGTGTGTGTGTGTGTGTGTGTGTGTGTGTGTGTGTGGTGGAAGCTACCTGCCTTGCTAGAGATTAAGGTGAGAAGGAGAGAGAGTTGAATGCTGACTTAAGTTATTCCTGAAGATGAAGAAAATGTCCCTGTAAAAAAGTTTTGTAGAAGAATGTACAGGTTCGTTTGTTAGAACAACAAACAGTGCTTAGTTTGGTATATTCCAAGAAATCTGGACTTTACTTTCTTATGTGAACAGAGTTGGAAGTAGATTTCTTTTCCTCCTGATGTTAACCTAGCTCAAGGCAAGGTTCTTCAAGTCAAACTCCCCAGTTCTATCCCCACCTGAAGATAGCTGTGTGAAAGGGTAGAGTACATCCCACAGATCTCCAGGATATTTTTCACTCTTGTTAGATTTTGTCCCCTATATATTCCTATCAGCGTAGAACATATGTTCTTGGGTTATAATATCTTTTCCAGTCCATTTGGGTTCATGCCAGCCCTTTCTCATGTTACTTAAGGTGATATTTGCTCATACGATAAAGGATCTGCCCTGCCTTGTTCAGGATCTTTTTGCCTAAAGATGCCTATTATTATATGATTTGGAGAAAATTCCTATTTTGAATGAAAGAGGTTTTTGGTTTTTTGTCTTTTTTTTTTTTTTTCTTAAAATACTTTGTACTTAAACAAGAATTCTTGGGGTCCAAAACAAACTGGCAAGTTCTGGCACATTTCAGTGAGTGGTATGTCTAACCATCTACTGTAGGCAATGTTAAACTACAGACAAAAAATCAAATTGTGGCCTAGATTGTCCTGCTGTTTTGTTGGTTTCTTGTGTCTGGACTGATGGTTAAATGGATGTGTAGTGCTTTCATTGTGCAGAGGCATCCTTTAGAATATTTGGTATAAGTCCCTTTTTCCTGCACGGGGGACTATCTGGCCTACAGGGTTATCACAAAGGCAAAATGCCTTTCCCAAGGCATGAGTGACTATAGAACATTCACCAGAAAGATATAGAATCAGTCTGTGACCCTGAGCCTTGAGTCCAAGAATGCTTTAGTCTGCACCAGGGCTCAGTCTTATGTATTGTTTGTATGTTCATGTTTAAAATTAGGTATTCCCTTCAACTAGAAATAAAATTTTAGTGATTTGTCCTGTGGGGAAGCATCATAGAAAAATTGTGCTCCATTAATTACTAAATCCTAGCCTTAGATCACTCACACAGTGTTGTATGTTGTATCTCCTTGTATAATAAACAGTATTCTTTGCACAGTTCCTAAGAGTCAAATGTTCCACCTCTGGAAGTACAAAAACAAAATGTTTAAATCATGCCTTTTTCTTTATTTAGTGATATATAAATTTTCATGACTGAAGTCTTTGGAAAAATGGCTTTCATCTTATACGAAGTTTTGTCAAATAATGTCACATAATGGTAGTTGAGTTGATAAAAGCGAAATATATTTTTAACAATCACTTTAGTAGTCTTTTGAATGGAGGTAGTTTTAAATCAATTCCATTGGGGGGAAAAAGCAAAATTATTGGGTTTTAACAAATACTTTAAGTAAAGGAAATATATAAACTTGAGACTTAAAAGATAGAAACATGATTGATTCATTACACAGTTCTCATACCTCTTCTTTGTTAATTTGTCCTGCTTATACTCATTAAACTGACTTTTCAGTTCTTTAGATGCTTCAAAATTATAAATAAACTCGATGTCTGAAGTGTAGCATTAGAAGTGACTATATAACCAGTGAAGGGGTCTACTCTCTGCTGCTGAGTAGAGCTTTGCTGATGTGTTAGTGGCTTCTCCAGGATGAAGTTTAATGTTCTTTCTGTTCTGGGGTCTTTGTCTATAGCTCTTGCTTCTAGTGGTTCTCTTCCAATAACGTCACTGGATGCAACTGGGAACCTGGTATTTGCCAATGCGGGAGGAGCCCCAAACATCGTGACTGCCCCTCTGTTCCTGAATCCTCAGAACCTCTCTCTGCTCACCAGCAACCCAGTAAGCTTGGTTTCTGCCGCCGCAGCCTCCACAGGGAACTCCGCACCTGCAGCCAGCCTTCATGCCTCCTCCACCTCTGCTGAGTCCATCCAGAACTCTCTCTTCACAGTAGCCTCTGCCAGTGGGGCTGCTTCCACCACCACCACTGCCTCCAAGGCACAGTGAGCTGGGCGCAGAGCTGGGCTGCCCCTGGCCTTCAGCACCACAGCGTGATGGGCTGCCAGCTGTGGAGAAACTGACAAGTGTGATCGGCTTCCTCCCACCGTGTTGTGAGGATGAGGGAGACATGGAGAGAAGAAAAAATACACATACCAGGAAAAAAAAAATGGAGACAGGACATCGTTTGCCTAATTTTATAATAAAACAATGTCTTTTCAGGATTGCTTCATGGATTGGAGAACTTTCTAACCAAAAATTTAAAAGAAAAAAAAAAAACAGAAACAAAAAAATCAAAAACAGACAGACAAAAATAAATGAAAGGACTACTTATCATTTCCAGCAGTCATGATGACAAGCTAAGGTGGGTTACCAGTTCCAATAGAGGAAGGGGTTTCTTATTTGTTCTTTCTTTTTTTTTCTTTTTTTTTTTTCTTAAAAAAAAATCATTTTTATAGGTCTGTTGTACAGGCCATTAAGTCATAACAAGGTGTTTATAATCGTATCAATTGTGTTGGGGGTTCCTTTTCTTAACTGGTACAATTTAGGCAGGCCTGTATTACTGTATCTCTGTTATTGTTTATATATATATATATATATATTGGACATGTTTATCTCTTGCTCCTGGATCCTATTTCAGTGAGCTCCCACACTGTGGGGAGGGAGGGTTGGGGGTAAAGGGAGACTTGCGTTCTTCACTTCCAGGAATGTCCTTGCTGGTTTCCTTATCCTTGATGACTCTTACAGAGGTGCTAGAAAATGGTTTTCTTTTGCCACTTATGCAAGAGGCTTGGTGCAGAAGCTGAAGGCAGTGTGTGCAAACACTCCCCTCCACACACGCCCTCCCCCATCAGGCGGTGCCTTTGGAGCACTTGTGTAGGAAGGAATTCCTGCTGCACTGGAGCGCTCACTCCCTAACCATTGAGCAGCCCTGAGGCCCAGCCCTGAGGCCCAACAGTGCTGCTTTCTGCTACTTTGAATGGGAACGGCTGTGCCTGTTGCAGGGCAGGGGTTGGTTCCGAAGAGCAAAGACTACTGCAGACACCTGACTTGGTGGTTCTCCTCATTTCTGTCTCTTCAAAAAATGCTCCTACTGTTGATGTTTGTTTGTTTGTTTGTTTGCTTGTTGGTTTGTTTTCATTTATGGAGGTTTTCCATCCAAACTTCCTTTGACTTTCTTAGTCAAGACCAAATTGACTTACTGAAATTGGGAAAGAATTCTCTTCTTTATTTTCTAAAGAACTTCTGTTTGACTGTTTTCTACTAATTACATATCCCAAAAAGGTCAATATAGAGTCTGAATTTGCCACCTTTACCTCTAGAGCAGCAGTTCTCACCTGAAAGTCTCGACCCCTTAGGGGGGTCGAACAGCTATTTCACAGGGGTCACTAAGACCATCTGCAAATCAGATATTTACATTACAATTCATAACAGTAGCAAAATTACAGTTTAGAAGTTTCAATGGAAATAACTTTATGGTTGGGGGTCACCACAACATGAGGAACTGTATTAAAGGGTCACAGCCTTAGGAAGGTTGAGAACCACTGCTCTAGAGTCACAAGACTTCCTGTCCACTGAGTGGCTCATAAGCTCCTCTAAGCCTCAGATTTTCCTCAGTTTTCTGACTGACAGGTACTTTCCTGACTGAACAAGAAATCTATAGACCCTCAGAGAAAGGCTGAGCAGGGACTTGGCGGCCTGCTAGTGTCTCCTGGTTTGTTAGGACGCTGCTGCTAGGTAGGTTTGGTATCAGACAGCACACGTCTCTTACTGGATGTAAAAAAGTGATTTGCTCCTGTAATTGTTTTCAGGGTGTTTCTAGACTACATAAATGAGCCCATTGAAAAGGAAGAGCTTGTGAAAATGGATGAAGATGGATGAGGGTAATTTAGAGATTGAATTCCCCTTTTGACAATGCCCTGTTATTATACTATCTGTACCAGAATTTTCACCACTGGCTGGGTCGCTGCAGTGAAGTTCATCTAAGTTGCCCTTACTGGAGTTAAGGTCCCCATTGGTGTCAGAGGCGCTTGCTTCGGTCTCTGGTGGTCTGCACTGAGCTGGGGTGGCTTTCCTTCTGATTGCTCTGCTTGTGTCCCTAGGAAGCTTGGCTTCTGTGCATTTGTCCCCACTGTTGCTCAGAAAGACAGTGACACAGACACAGCTGGGTATCTTTCCCTGTGAGTCAGTTAGAAGAAGGCCATGTTAACATTAAAGTCAGAAGCATATAGGTCCCCCTTTAAATTTGTCTTTAGTTCCCTTGGTTTCTGTCTTGGATATTTAATTTTTACACCCGAATTTCTCCTACCCTTACCTTTTCTTAAACTCCCTCTAGAAATCAGTGAACTGCAAGCAGGGGAGCTAACACGTGCTCGGCACTTGTTCTGTATGGGGTGGGTGTTTTGTTTTGTTTTGTTCTTTAAACTAAGCTTGAACCAAAGTCAATTTTTAGCAAGCTGCTGTACTAATGGACTAGTTATGATGTGCAGTTCAAACACATTGAGGAGATAGATGCTACTGACAATTTCTTATTCATTTTCTTTGATTAATTTTATGTGAAAGTTGCTGCTTGTTTTTAATCTTTTATGTTGGTAAGTTGTAATATCCTCTGGGCAGACGTTACCTTGATTTTTAGCTAGTTTGTCTAGGTCAGCGTGTAAATAGAATGTCTGTGTCAGTGAATAACTTCTCTCCTCCCCGTCGGCTCTTTCTTGTTAATTTAATCTTTTACCTGGACTTAACTCTAACCTTAGTCTGTGCATGTGATTATAGGGCTGTCAGTACTATTTCTGCTCCTAGCAGAGAGTCCTCTCCCTTGGGAGTGATGACGTTAGGAGGAAGAATTCAGGGAGAGAAATATTGATTAGCCACCATACCAGATTAGAAGTTATAGCATTAATTCCCAAAATTGCTACCAAAGGAAATATAGAGTCTCAAGGGACCTGGCCCAGGGAGTTGAAAAGGACAGAGAAAGACTGTTTTGCTTAGTCCTATATGGTGAAAAGAATCTTTTTCCTAACTAAGATTCCCCACAGACTTGGATTTTAAAGACGATACTAAGCTTTAAATGGCAGCCCAGTGGTTGTCAGTCCCTCCTTTGTCTGTAGTTTCTAGCTGGTTCGAGAAAGGAGTGCTGCCTTTTTATGTAGTTCATTTGAGGATAGACCTCAAAGCCAGCATAGATGCGTATTGAGAAGAAATGCGTATTGAGACAAAGATAACTTTATTTTTTCCTCTCCTTTTTCATATATTCCTAATGAAGTTGTCAAGTGAAAGGCACTTTCTCCGTGTATACATGACACACTACTAACACCCGCTGGTGGGTGTTGAGTTGAAAGTCCATCACCACTCGTCAGTGCTCTGTCGGGCACACTGCTTCACAAACACCTTGGCTATTTTTCAGTTGATACCACCTTTTTTTTTTTAATGATCTCAAATGCTTTTTGAATTAGCAAAAAACTATCTTTTAAGCTAAAGTACTCAGACTTAAAACATTTAGCTGCCTTGTACGAGGGTGTCTAGAAACTAAAGGGATCATTTGAATAAAGGGCATTGGGTTGAGTTTCTGCATTTCCAGAAGAAACACCAGATAGGTTGTTACAACTTGTTATTTCATTCTTCTTTTTTTCCCCTTGACATTTATGCACACTTTATTTCAGCCCTGAATTTAGTTAACACATAGTAAGCCAAAGACTAATTTTTAAATGCATTTTTAGGGATACTGTATTTGCCTGTAATAACGGGTCCTCCCTGGAGAGTAGTGAATGTAATTGTTTAGTCCTGTTTAAGCAATGCGGTTTGGCATAAACTTTATTTATTCCCTATGTAAATCTGAATGACAACAGAAAGATCTATAAGGCTTCTCATAGGAGCAAGATTACTGTTCTAGGAATCAGTAGAGTGCTCTGTTAGCTTGAATGTCTCTGAAGTCCTATAGGCAGCTCCTTAGAATGAGGAAACATTATTCCTACCCATTAATTTCCTTTTATCTGTTGTCAGGAAGGTCAATACCATCCTGTTTATGTAACTTATTACTCCAGAATGGAACCAAAGGAATACAGCTTTTATCTTGTGTAGGACCAACCTATTTATACTTCATAAACTTTATTAGAATTTTTTTAAAGGGACAATATCAATTAAAAGATTTTGGGTGTGATCATCTTGCCAATTTGTTCTATATCATCATTCATTTGTTTTAGGGGGAAAAAGCACAATTATACCTCTTTAATATTGTGTCTAATATCTATCCCGCAATTATTTGGGAAGATAGGGGAAATAATCTCTTATTATCCAAGAAGCACAGGTTTTTGCTTGACAGTATTTCAGTTCAACTTAAATGATAACATTTAACTTGCTGGAAGCGCCAGGTACATTTGTAAATATAGGGATATTATGTTAGAAAGAATACTATAGTTCACAGTCTGAAGTTCTCAAGCCATGCCATCCTCACCAAACTTCCTTGACCAAGAGAGAAATAAGGTCACTGAAATAGGAAGCCATTAGACACCCATTTGTGTACCTCCCAAGCTGGGAGAAATGCCACCCTAGAGTGCAGAAGACAGTTTCCTGCTGGCAGCCTGAGCTGGCCCTGGCCCTGAGGAACTCACAGACCAGTCTACAACCTGAGCACATGGTAAGAAGGAAGGAAGGGCCTTAGCAGCTCAGCAGGAACCCTAAATTAGTTTCTGAAGTTGATGAACATAAAGTGTACTTATTAGAACTGAAAACATTAAAGATTACAGTACTAATGGGCAGAAAATACTAAAAGACCTGAAACCCATAATTATCCAAGTGGGCAGAAATTGATGTAATAATTTATTCATAACCATTATGAGTTCACTTTGATTTGTGGGTATGAACAGCATTTACCATGTTATATTGTTCATATAAATAGATCCCTGGCTACTTTGAAATCATTTTCAGATACTTGTAAAAATAAGACTTAATATTATTTCAATTTTGAGGAGGAAAAAATAATTCTCTGCTATTTTTCTGAAACTAAGAGCCACTGTAAGTTTACATGATGCACCCACAATGTACACACAGGCCTAAATAGAAAAGGCATAACTAAGTTGCTTTCGTTATTAAAGGCCAATGGGATCCTCTTTGCCGCCTCCTCGTCTTCATCCATGGAGAATAGGTAGAAGGTTCTACTAGAAGTCAGGGAACCTGTTCCTCGGAAGTTGTCCAGGCTGCACCCAGTATCTGCCATCTTCTCTAAGATTTGTGACTAGGATCTTCTCTAAGCGGCATTCTAGTCACGAAGTAGTTCCTTATTTTGACTTTCCTGCTCTTGGCCTTGACTAAAGCAGTGAGCTTGAGTGAATCATGTGTCAGCTCTGTGATCTGGATCTCTCGCCTCTTTTCCTTCCCTTCTTTCTCTTTTTGAATGGTGGTACCTTAATCTGTGAGAATAATGCTCGTGGGCAACAGCTTCTGGCACCTTCATAAAATACCTCAGCGTAGCTTAGCATTGTTGCAGAACTGGTTTTAGACTTTAAAAACCAAATAAGTAAAAGGAAAAAAAAAAAAAACTTTATAAATAGTGGAAATAATTCTAGCTGTAGTATTTAGTTGAACTAATGTTTATTATGGTTGATAAATATGATTGATGCTGTATGTATTTGGGATCCTGTTTATAGGGTTAGGGAGGGTTGGAGTAGGAGAAAGGAGAAATTGATTATGTTAGAAGGAAAAGATTGCTCGTATGTATTTGTTTTTCTTTATATCTGTCTTGCCAAAGGAAATTTGATCTTCCCTATGATTGGGTGGGGTTTGAGGCCTCTCTGTCATCTGACATGCAGCATAGTATGCAGAAGCAAGAAGGTGACGTGTGGAGTGTCCAGTAGGTTCAGGGTGCCCAAGGGCAGATGTGCAACCCTTCCGTGTCTGTGGCTGCCATGCCCACCCCCCACACCCCCCACACCCCCCGTCCAGACCTGCCGGCCTCTCCTGATGATCCATTACCTCCGTACATAGCTAAAGCCTAGGCGAAGGAAGGATGTGTGCATGTCCAGTGTGCAGATGAAAGGAGACAGATAGAGACATGTACCCAAGGAAGTGGGAGAGGAATGGAGCGGTAAGTGACAAATCTTGATCTAGGAAAAAATAAGGTGAGATGAGTCGTCCTCTGTCACGTTAGTGAATGCTGGGCTAGTAGTCGCCCGTTATTTTTAAAACCTTATTTCCTTTTCTTATACCAAGGATAATTCTGTCTATACCAAAAGACAAACGAAAGAAAACTGAAATCAAGAAGTTGAAAGCTAGCCTCACACTGTAATAAGGTGTGGCATTTAAGGATTGGTTGATGAGACAGAAGTAAGAAATGATGCTGGTTTAGGGAAAATTAAAAACCTTTCTGCCCTCATTCCGAGACAGATTTTCTTGTCTCCCTGAGTTCTGATACAAACTATATCTCAATTATTTTTTTAATAAATGTTCCATCTCACAGAACTTGAGTGAGATTTGATTTTGATACCAAAGACACCGCTATACCATTGCTTATTGTAACACTTTCCAAACAGTCAGAGGATAGAGCAAAATGCTAATGTTGGGAAAAACTTTACCTTGTCTCTGTTCTTCCCATTTTCTTCACTCCTTCCTCACTCTTTGAAAGACGTCTTATTGGTCATTCTGTCTTTGGAAAGGATTGATTTTATCCCTCCCTGCTGCTGCTCTGAATGTGGGTAGAATTGCTCAGCATTACAGTGATATTCTTGCCGAGAAAGAAACTAGAGGGGTGCAAAATTAGTAGTAGATTTTTTATTTCCCTTTATCTAATTCTTACAAATCAAAGTAGCCCATCCAACCTGTTAGATCACAGTCAATATTCAGTTAGGAAGACCAGACTACATGAAAGCCAAATGATGTTTCCTCACTCTCCAGTAGAGCTGTTTGCTCTCTAGTGTTTTTAGGATATGGCCTCTGGGAAGCTAAGAAGTTCATTATTTAGGCATACTATTGATAAATGTAGACAGGGAGAGAGGGAAAAGACACGTGTTACTAATAGTCCAACAAGCGCGATCGGGTTGCTAAACTTGATGAAAGCTTTACTTGTTATTATTCTGACATTATGTAAAAGTAGTGTTAATGTTGTGTGACTTTTCAAAGCATTAGGTAGGTTTATATGGTAATAGGGATATTAAAAGTAAGAGCACTTGAAACAAATGCTGTGGGAAAACAATGTATGCATCATGAACATCATTTCGAAAGACTGAAAGTGAAGTTCCCGGGTTCAGGGAAGGAAACAGTTTATGATTCTTGTGCATCCCTGAGTCTGCCCACACTGCACAGGACTCCACCACCCTTGCCACCTTCTGGTTCAAGCCCAGGGCACTGTCAGAAAGTTAAGAACCCCAAACTGATTCACTGGGGGAAAAGGGAGAAGCTGAGGTCTGCTGTGAAGTTTTCCCATGTTGTCTTTACTCCGTCACTGTTCAACGTAACCACAACCTCAGAAAGCAGATCACAGCTTCTTTCCGACATTGGCAGTGGTGGTGGTCTCCATCGCCGTACCCCAAGGTGTACAGGCACACAGCTACCTACAGTGCTGTTTCAACAAGGAAGGGTCTGTGCATGGGAGCTCCTTACGTAATCTTGTTAGATAAAAATGGGCAGTCGGTGCCCATCCATCCCTGCCAGTGGCTCGGGGTCTGAGAATTAAAGGAGGAAACACAATGCATTTTCCCACGTAGGTGTGGCTGTGTCTCGTAGGAGCACTGGTAGGTTGGCTGGGGTTCCATTGCTACGTGAGTCTGCAGAAGGCACATATTTTGTAAGAATGAAGTGAACTAGTTAGTGCTGGCCTGGTTAGGTTTAAAATGGCAAACAGTGTGGGAATGGGGTTGGCGTGTTTGCCAAGACTATGGCCATATTACAGCATTGACTTTATACAATATAAATGGTAAATGGCGTCTCCTCTTAAGACCATATGGGGAGAGAAAGACTCTTTCCACTCCTTACCTCTGCTTCCATGGGAATGTGTGCATTACTCAGTCCACAGGAGGACTCACCGAGGGAGGTACCCTCTTCCTAGAGTGGGCCTCAGCCATTCCTCTCCTCTGTGGTAGTAGTGAAGGCTAGGTGAGTAAGTGTGGGGTTTTCTGCCCACCAGTTGTCCAGGAACTGTCGTATACCTCATTTCTAACTCGTGACTAAGTAACTTGCTTTAACTTCCTCTCAACCCTACAGAGTTGCCAAGTCTGCCCTCCCTCTTCTCAGCAACATTGAACTCTGGCCTATAGCATCATAAGACCTGTCGCCTAGGGTGGGACGCCCCCCCACCCACCCTAAGCCTCTGAATGTCTCTGCTTTGAAGCTACTACAAAACTGAGGGCAAATTGCAATCTCCTGTCTGTTTTCTTGTCGGGGATCTCCCCGGGTCTCCTGTGTCCCCACCACCTTGCCTTCAAGGACTGCCAGCTATCCCCCCCATCTGCCCCATGGTTCCAACTGCTAGACACATAACAGCTCTGTCCTTGCCTTTGCCAAGTGGGGTCCAGGCTGACCTTCCCCTCTGGAGCCTTGCGGTTCTGCTCAATGCCAGGACTTACTTGGTAGAAAGGACACCAAAGGTTCATTTAAGCTGACTGCCGCATAGACATTTCTCTCGTTTCCTGTGTGACGTGACCAAAAAAAAAACATATTTAAGTTTATTATTAATAATATTATAATGCTAATTATTATTATTTGACAATCTTATATCCAATGGGTTTTTTGGAAGCTGCATCCCTGGCCCTTTCAACCTTTTCTTTGAATGTAGTTCTCAACTTGTAATCCCCACCCCCAAAGTTGGGGGAAATAAAAAGCTTAACCAGGTCAGGTCATCACACTGCTGCTATAAGCCAGGGGAGGGTGGTTTCTTTGTTTTGTTTTGTTTTTCCATTTCCAGCCAAAACCAAAGATTTCTTAATGATTGTATAGACTCAAAACAAACAAAAAAACCAAAGAAAAGGGAAGTCTTCGGCCTCAATCCAGTCTGTGGCGTCCTGGCACTTAGAGACATGCCCAAGGGCAGGAGAGCACCTCTGACCAGCTCAAACGGGCAAGCAAGCTGTTTTCCAAGTTGAGAGTTTTGTCCGGGTGCCTGCTCAGTAGTTTTGGCTCTTGCAGCTTGTGAGCAGAACGTACATGAAAAATACTGGCAACATGAGATTTTCCAAAACCAAAGCCCAAAGCCCATCACCACGACAGCCCCTCTGACAGCAACCAGGGTCATCACCAGAACTTAGCAGAGGGCCTTAGAGCCGGGAGCTGCTGCAGGATGGCCACGGACTCCACAGAATGGGGGCGCTGAAGACACTGGCACAGGACTGGCTGCTCTGCTGGGTGCTTTCACCTCTGGGGCTGGGTCTCCACCTCCTCAGGGGCCCTTCTGAGCCTTCTCTCTCTTTTCTTTCCTGGAACTGCTTGGAAGTGGCTGTCCCGTCTGTGAGGAGACACAGAGAGCGGTTCGCAAACTTTCCCTTTCTGTTTGTAGTTTGGTTTCCTTTGCAGCTGCACTCTGCAACTATGCATTGTACTCACAACCTTTGTGCTAGGTAGACAAACGCCTGCGACTTTTTAACCTGCGGGGGCGGGGGGGTGGGGGGGTCGAAAATGAAGGAGATTTTTACATGGATCTTTTTAATCTCAGTTGATCGGGGGAGGGGGGTATTTGGTTCTAGGGTCATACAAGCTCTATCCCAAAGCAAAATCCAAATGTTAATAATATTAGCCTGATGCAGATACCAAAGACAATTTCTTTCCTGCAGAACCTTAGACTTGTGTATTAAGTACGATTACCCAGCACTTGCATTATTAGTCTAACCTCAGTAATTCCAAAGCTTAGATGTATATTTTGGTATATTTCCAGGATATTAAAAGAAAAATGTCGTTTAACTTCTTGTCTGTTTCAGTGTAATGCTCTTAAAGTCATAGCATGAAACCTTGGCTGTCCTATTCTTGGTAGTTTGAAATAATAGTATTTTTGTATGTTTTGGGTGTGTCTGTATGTATTAACATAACAGTTTTCACTGCCTAGGTGTTCGTAATAAAAATGAAAGGTTCTGAGTGTACATACTAGTCAGTAATAATCTCCACGGTGTCCACTTGAGCGTGGAGTCACTGATGACTGCCCAGCTGGGGTCTGGTTTTAAAGAGACAGTGATTGTGTTTTTCTAAAGATGTTTATTTCTGTCTTTAAATACCTTAACTTCCCCACTCCCCCCCCCCTTTTTAATTAATATTGATTCAGGGGTGTTTTTCCACTGTTGTCAGGGAGGAACACAAGGGGAATTGGCACCCTGACCTCCCAAAATGTTATTTTGTGTTCTTTAGAATGTGACTTTGAGTTCTGCTTGTGGAAACTTACAATATGATGTACATGATTCTTTCCAGGATTGTCCCACAGCTGCACTGAGGCAGTGGCCATTCCTGGGTAGTTTATTGGGTGTCCTCTTGCATTTCTCCTTAAGATGGCTCTGCAGTCTGGGTGGCTATTGTGTAGCCTCACTGCCCCAGGGCGTCTGTAACCATTTCTCCTCCGACGGGAATATTTTCTAAAAATCAACCGATAATTCGGAGCGCTGGCCCTGGGAAACCTGAAACACAGCAATTGTACTTGTTGGGGTTAGCTGGTCCCTCCCGAGGCCCGGGAATGGTGGGGACTGTGAGCAGTGCTGTCTCTTTAAAAGTGCCCTTGATGTGATCCCCCCTCCTGGGGCTGCCAGAGGGGCATGGGCTTGGGAGAGGGTGTGTGGGTGCCAGTGAATCAGAATGAAATGGTGGGTTTGTGTAGATGCATTTGTCTGCTGTAATTTTTATATATATTAAACTTACTGTAACTGTACAGTTCCATTTCTGTTGTAAAACATTAAACCATTTTCCAAGTGTTTTCACATTGTCGGCATCTCTGTGTCTTGGTGTTCTGGCTGTTTTACACACAGGCTGTTGTTGCACAGATACTCGCGTGGACCTTCCAACTCATTTCTCCCCCCAGGTCTTCCTGGGAACCTCAGAATCTAAGCACCTCATACTTACCCTCTGGCTTCCTTAGTGAGCTGTAGCCAGAATCTCAGCGGAACCCTGAGTTGAGGAGCGTAGTTTCTTTCAGACCTGAGTGCTCTCTGTGATCAAACCCACTGGCCCTTGGTTGATCCTGCAGGGGAGCTCCTCAAAGCCCGTCTCACTGTGTGTGTGACTGCTGACGGCGATGGAACTCCATCTGTGTGCTCTGCCCTGGGACTGACAGGCCAGGTCCCTCTAGCATTTCTTAGCAGGCCCTGAACCGGGGGTGGTGGGAGAGGGTCCTCTGAAGGTAGGGCATCCCGAACTGGCCTCTGGCCCTGCTGTGTGCATAACTAAGCCTCTGCTTTCTAGACAGTTGAACATCTGGCACCTCATAGAGCTCACCGGCTTCATAAGGAAAGTGGAAACCTAGAATTTCCCACAGAGAGAAGACTTGAGCTTTTGTAGAGCTTTGGGAAGTGGCCCTGACAGGTGAATGCTGACAAGAGCCCCTCTCAAAATGACAAAGTGCCAAAGCCAAAAGACAGATATGGGCCCTCCCTTTTGCTCCTAAGTCAAATTAACTTACTCTTTTCCATTCTTTTTCCCTTCTAACATTTATGTCTTGCATGTAAGTCTATAAAGTTATTTTTAAAGTAATTTCAAAATCTTAACATCATCTTTGGTAGAGACAGTGGCAGCTTCTTACATAGAAAGACTAACAAGCAGACCCGTGTGAGCTCTGAAGGAGTGAAACTGGGACCCTTCCATCCTTTTATAAACTAGCTATATTCTAGCTGCTCCCAAGACCCCATCGGAAGCATTTCCCCACGAGATGAGCCTGTGCCCCGGCTCTCTGTGAAGAGGCTCTCTCCATTCCCAAGACCAGGAATTAAACCTGGGGCCTCTGCAAGAGCAACAAGTGCTCTCAACCACTGAGTCACCTCTCCAGCCCCCAGGATTTTTTTTTTTTTAAGTCACATGGCTTTCCATTTTAACCACAAAATGGGGATGTTTATGTTTAACACGTTTTCAATCCTCTGAAACAAGCGATAGTACTCGTATCTTACAGCTGATAGTATCCAGAGTGAAAGACTGTGGTTAGAGTCCACTGCCAGGCCTCAGGCAGGGCGGGAGTCCTGGCTGTCCCAGGAGTAGCCAATGTTGCCTTGACTCTGGAGCGCTCCTCCCAGGAACTCTGGTTCCCCAGCTCTGATGCGAGGGCACATCTGCTCAGCTCTCTCAATGCTTGCTTTCTCTGTAGCTCCTTTCCAGGTAAGGCCTCCTGCCCTGTAACTCACCGCCAGTGCTCCCCTCTGCCTGAGAGACATGTTCTTAACAGAGCTGGGTCAAACTCTTCTTTTCCAGCCATCTCTGCTCTGCTGGTCTTGAAATGAGGCCCAGAGCAGGCCTGGAGACGAGGCACTCTGTCTAAAAAGCTCGACCTCAGGTTAAAGGTGAGTATATAGCCCCCCTTGGGACTGACTTACATCGAAGGCCTTTCTGTATGTGCTGTGCAGGATTGTTGTTGGAATCCTCAATTTTCAAGGCCTTTTAATAGATAACCTTGGATTTCTGTTTTGAAAAGGCCAAGGTACAAATTTTAGTCTTTTATCCCTTATTAATTGGGCTCCAGGACCTGAGAGGTTAGGGAGAGTCACTAAACTTACAGAGGTACTGCTGAGGGAAAGGTCACTTGGTGAGGGAAGCTGACCTGGAAATACTGTCCACCCCCCACCCCCCATCCCCTGTGCCCACATGGCTCCTTGGCAGCTGCTGTTCAGTCCTGGATGCTCTGCTCAGAATGTCACTGCCCTGGGCTGTTCTGCATTCCCTAGAGAGGCTCATCTCAGGAAGCCTTTCCAATATCCTCTTCCAGTTCAGTCAGAAGGCCAGGCCCCCACTCTTCCACTAGGCACCTCCCTATCTGGAGGCACAACCACCAGCCTAATGCCGAATCCTACATGGCCGCTGCCTCACGGCAGCTTTCCAGGTGGCTTTGTGTACTGGTACCTACCTGCCTACTCCCAACTGAAAGTAATTTTTCACTTTCTGCAGAGGCAGCCTGCTGATTTCCTGTCTCCATTACTACCCCAGGCTTCACCATTGAAATAAGACTTCAAACATTTTTAGCAAAGCATTTATTATGCAAAGCAGTGAGGCTTTATTTAGCAAGCCAGTATAAATTAAAACCCTGGAGATCAGAGGGTCCCCCATCCATGGTCACAGGCACTTTATACCGTGAGCTTGCAGTCCGCTGACTGATTCTCAATGTCACTGCTGTGTGAGCGCTGCAGACCTGGGTGGTCTTGGTCTTCTCGCCATTCAAGAAGGAATGGACCAAGTTCCTGGGAGAAGGCGGGACTCCCTTTTCACTCACCCCCTGGGCTTAGTTCATTGTCATGACATAGCCTGTTTCTCTGCCAGTTTGGGCACAAGTCATGTGTGTTCGCCATGAAGGGAAGGCACCTTTCCATTCCTGAGTGCCTGGCACAGTGGTTGGGAGATGCAGAGAGAATGCTTGGTGGGAGGAGGTCCCTTGTACCTGTGCTGGGGACCTTCCGGGCATGTCGCTTCCCTTCCTTCAGCCAGTTCTGGCAGACACTTGCCTAGGCTCCCTCCCTCTCTGCCTTTCACCGTGTGGCCTAATTACAGGTTATCTTGGCAGTGGGAAGGATGACAGCAGAAGCCAAATTTACAGCAGGAGCAAAGCAAGTCCACACCAGTGGAACAATCCAAACGGTACCCAGGCCTTCTCTGGGGCTTTTACAGAGCAAACTGAACTCAGCCGTGACAGGAGGTGTGTTAGTGCCCCCACCCCCGACCCCCTGGCTAGGGCTTGGCTCTGCTGTGACAAGGGCGTGCCATAAGACCAGAGAACCAGGCTGGGCTATGAGAGTGAGTGGGGGGCTCTCCCTTTTAAGCATCCAGGGATGACATTCTGTGGACGGTACTTTGGAATTGGAGAAGACAGATGTGATGGCTGGAAGCATCCTCTTCATCAAATGGTGGCTGTGAAATGAATGGACTGAGTTGGAAATGCGTTGTCCTTCACAATCAACATCATCAGGTCAGGCCGATGAGTGGGAAGTTCGCTGACTGTTAGCGAGGGGGCAGGGTCTGCATGTGAAGGGCGTCATAGGTGTCCTTGGTGGCAGCGCTGAGCCCCTGGTGAAAGCAAGTCACAAAAGAATGAACAGGAGTCCACAGAAACAAGTCTACTGTCTGTGGCTCAACCATGGATGCCACTGCCTTCAGCCCCCCAAGGTCCCCTCACGCCACAGGTGGGGAGTCTTGCCCGAGAATGCTGACAGAAAGATGGATTCTTGGTCCTGCTACAAATGACTTGGAAGCAACTCTTTTTCCAGCTTGATTCTCACCCCTTTCTCAACTTCTCAAACGCTAGGCCCTGCAGTACCAGGGCGCATCAGACTCCCCATCCAACCAAAGAGGAAGGCAGCTTACCCATGTCACATACTGAGCTGGAAACTGGGAGGTGCCAGAGAATCTGCTACCTGAGCCCACAGAGAGTCTGGACTAGGCACAGGGAAAGCAGCAGATCCATGGCCTCGGTCCTCAGCCAGGAAAGTCTGGTCTCTGGCCAGTGTGGTATATTTGGACAGGCAGACAAGGCTAGCCTCAGTCTCGCTGGAAAGTCTCTCTGTTCCAGGGACCGGAATGGCAATGGGGCCTCCAGCAGCTTCCAGTAAGCAGCTTTGAATATCATCACCACACTCAGGTGAGCCCAGCGACAAGAAAGATGAAGCCACAGGGGGATCCCTTTTTAGAAAATTAGGTTCTCTGCACAGTTTGCATAATTTGCACTAATTTACATAAACCAGGCACCTGATTATTACAGTGACATTTCCCTTTTGAAGCTGCCTTTTTCTTTCTTCAATCTTCCCACCTACTCTCTTAGATAGAGCTGAGCTAACACAGTGGACCAAGAAAACAGTCGCCTGGGTAGGGTCCTTTACCTATTTCTGCCTGCACCTCTGGGGGCTCCCCTCCCATCTTTCAGATAGCTGCTCTTGTCCCCTATGCCCAAATGGCCTGGGGCTCCCACAGCCCTCTGGTTAAAGCCAAGTATCTGCCTCCACAACTGAGTCTCAACCCAGCTGTGGAGACACAATGGCCGCGGAGTGGCCTCCGGTCTGCTTGTGTGCCCCGAGTTGGCGCTCCCGGGCTGTTGACAAGGGCTGGTACCACCAGCAAGCAAACCGTGGTGGCTTCAGCATTACCCCGTGTCAAAGCAGTGCTGCCGGGGGGCAGCAGCTCTCACCTGGTAAAGGCCATCGTGTCCCTTGCCTCTCCGCCTCTGTGAACGAGATTAGAACGGAAGGGCATCAGTAGCGGCACCCTTGCTCAACTGCCCCCACTCAAGGAATCAGAAGGGACTCTTTCCCAGCCAGCATTCCCTCCCCCCGGGGACGGAGGGGTCCTTTGGCCCCTGTCCAGACCTTCGCCTCTCTAGAATAAGATGACACGTGGCTCAGATGGGCGCCAAGTTCACACTGCCCAACCCAGATCTTTGGCATCTGGGACGTAGGACCGGCTGCTTGGAATAAATGGTCCTCCGCACGGATCCAGCGCCTCAGAAAGGCTCGCTGAGAACAGCAGCTAGGTAATGGTTGAGCTCTGACAGAGTTAGCCCAAATCCTCTTCCTCCCAAGGGAAGTTGATATCCTCTCCAGGGAAGGCACTGACCACACATGCTGGCCGGTCGATTGCACAGGGTCCCCTGCTCAGAAGAACTCAAGGCTCTGCCCTTGACATTTGGAGATTGTCATGAAATCATGAATGAACAAGGAAGGAGCCATCCACTTGGATTCTCCCCTGGGACCCAGTGTCAGGGCACAGCAAGCACCCAGCTGTGCTGTGAACAGTGACTGCCTGCAAAGGTTCCGTCTGCGTCCAGCAAAGCTTAGCCGCGGATGTTAGATCTGCCCTTCAGCCCCGACACCTCAGCCCATGCCTGGTCTCATGTACTGTCCAGGGGCACCTCCGCGTCTGTCATGCGTCACACGGACTTTTCTCAGTTGGAGGAGGAACGGGTGGGAGAGGAAGGCTGTGGCAGGAATGTCTGCAATACCATAAGGAGCCCTCCTGGGCATCAAGGAAGGGCAGCACTCACCTCGCCTTTCATTCCAATCTCGCTGTAGGCCTCCGCCATCTTGTCTTTCTGCAGCGCCTGAAGGAAAAGAGGAGATGTGTTGTCCTAACTGATGGAGAGTGGGCCTTTCCCCCCGGAAGCCTCTGGATTCCCGAGTTGGCAGGCTCCAAGCCCTGGGCTTGCGAACATTGTTGCCCACAACCAAGTCTACTGTGCTCCTCAGCGCGACTTCAGAATCTTCTCTGATCTACCTGTTCTATACGTTGAACAGTTGAGGTGAGATGAAGACAGCTGAGACTCAGAGCTGTAAAAACCGAGCAGGGAGATTGCACGCCGTAAGGGCTTAGGGGAGCAATGAGTCATTGATTGGAACAAGTCATCTCTTCCCAGCCACAGGCTGTGCATCAGCCGATTGCTGTGGGGCACCACCACTTGGTCGCCTAATGCTATAGCTTCACACCACAGTGGCGGCGTGGACTTGGCATGGAGAGGAAGTGCTCAGAATCCTCCAGCCCCTGGGGTCAGCATCCTCTCAGGCCAGCCAGCTCCACCTTCCTGCCCAGCATAGCCTGCAGCTCCTACCCTGTTCCCCAACCACGGGCTCAGAGCCCACGAACAATAACAACAACAAAAAAGTGGGGCGCGGGGGGGGGGGGTGAGGTGTCGCTGCTGAGCTTAAAGGGATGTTCCAAAGCTACCAGCAGGTGACATATAACCATCCAGGGAAGGGCTGGCCTAAACAGAAAGACTGGAGAGAGACCAGCCCTCCTCCAGCCTTCTTCCAGCTCTCTAGGGTGAACGGTGAATTCTCTTATACTTACGTTGTACACGCCTTCCTGGGGGTTCCTCCTCCTCTGCTGAGGAACAGAAAAGGGCAGAGATTAGACGGTGAGAATCCAGGCTGGAAAGTGACCAACCCCACGCTGCCTTGTCCGGTGGCTCCGCTGCCAGTCTCCTCCTCAGTCCCTGGCCTTACTCAGGCCAGCCTTCCGCAGCTCACGCTCGCTTATGCACGCCTGCACACACACTTCACATTCCCGCCTGGGCAGGCAGGCCCCAGGGTTGTCTGTGGGCATGGTTTTTTAGCCTCTTTGCAGATGTATTCCCATATGCACCATAAACCAATATGTGGGCGGGGGTCCCCTCATTCAGGGCAGAGCCAAGCCAGTCAGTGCTGATCAGGTCCTACTGAGGTGGGGCCCCAGAAAACTGTGGCCCCCTCCCTCATCGCCCTTCCCTCACCCCTTCCTGGTCCTAAGGAGAAGAGCTGAGGTGGGAGGATGGAATAGGGGTTAGGGACTTGCCTGCTTTCCACGTCCTCTAGCACTGCACACCCAGCACAGAATTCAGAGGACCTAGGTCAGGCCTGAGTGGATAGGGATGACCAAAAACACTGAGGACATTGGGTAGCTCTGAGCAGTGCTGACCTGAAACTGGACTTTTGTCCTGAGCCCTGCTATTAGGAGGCCTCTAGTCCAACAGAGGAGTCATCTGGCCCTCCCCCCCCCCTTACAGGAATAGAGTCTACAAAGCCAAGAGGTCACAGGCGCCTGGAGCCTGATGTGGCCATGTTCTTTCTAAAGGGTGATTCAGAATCCAGGATTTGTCCTCCATGGCCTTAGCCCCTTCCTGGGTGTATCTTGACATCAGGGCTGTCCTAGGGAGGCAGGTGATTCTACCATGTGTGCATCCTGGGTTGACTAGGAAGCAGTAGAGGGGAGGTAGACAGAGTTTAGGGCACAGCCTGTGGTGACACACTCGTGTGCAGGGCTTCTCATGGTGCAGAATGGAGCCCGGAAGACAGGGCAAGGTGGCGGCAGGTGGCTCTTTGTCGTCCCCTCGTCCCGGGCCCTCTCCGTGTTCGTCTAGTGCCCGCTGTCCCAGGGTGAGCAGCCCTCCCTCAGAGCCCACCCACCCCATCCTTACCTGTTTGGCCCCCATCTCAGGGTCCCGAGCCAACTTCTTGTTCAAAACATCATATTCCTCTCTTCGTCCTAGATTGAGCTCCTAGAACAGGAGAAGGGACCTTCAGGAGAACGAAGCCACATCAACTGAAACTGGGGCTTGGTTTCCCGCCTGGTGGCTCCACAAAATGCAGCATGGGGAAGGTGAGGTACCTCGGTGGGAACGGTACTTGCCGCAGAGCCTCAGGATCTGGGTTCAATCCCCAGGACCCACATGGCGGAAGGAGAGAAGTCCTCTGACCTACACGTGTGCACCATGTCTCACAACAGCACAATAAAAAGTAAAAATAGTTGTACATTTTATTTATGTTATGTGTATATGTGTGTGCCTGCTGTATGCCTGTGTGCCACATGCCTGCAGAAGCGGCCTCAATCCCCCAAAATTAGAGTTATACGTGTTTGAGAGCCACCCTATGGGTGCTAGGGGAAAGCCTGGGTCCTCTGCAAGAGCGCTAAGCACCCTTAAAAAAGCATGAACAGAGGCAAGAGATGTGGTGGGAACGGTTTCATCTCCATGCCAGCACCTCAGAAAATATCTGCTACCAGGCTGGTGCATGGCAGGAGCCCCAAGTCACCATGTGCTTTTCCTTCCACCGAGCTGTCTAATGGGGTTCATAACAGCGTTTTCAACCAAGGCTCCCGGAGAGGAATCACACGAACCAAAGACCTACTGCATTTCTGTGTGAGCCTTCCCCCTGTGCAGTGGCCCCGAACCTATGCCAACTGCTGGTGGCTGGCAGTTCACTAGAGGCAGGGCTATATATACCACGCATCTCGTCATTGAAGCTCCTGTCCTCACAGCAGCACTGAGGGCCAAGCATGACTGCTACCCCAGTCTTAGGGTTCAGACACTGAGGAACCACACCTTGCCCCCAGTCACCAGGCTGATAGCTTTGGACCAGACCTCCAGCTGAGCCGAGTCCTAGGACAAGACTTTGCACACAGGTCTGCACAGTGGGAACTTACGTTGTAGAGCTGGTTGGAGCCCTGCTGGTAGGCGGCAGCATCCACAGTCCCGCTGAACTGTAATAGAGCAGAGAGAATCACAGCTCAGCACCATCCCCACGAGGTCCAGAGGGCTGGCCACAGTGCTGAGCTGGGCGGCAGCCCCTCGGTCCTTGCTGACAGCGAACCACGTGTGCCTCGCTGCTGTGGCTGTCCCTTGCAGGGGTCCAAGGTGTGTCAGCTCCCTCTGAACTCAGTTGTCCTTTCTCTTGCCTGCCCAGTGTCTGCAACTTTCGTCTTGGGAGAAGCTAATTATCCCAAGTGAAGGCCTTGGCCTTCCCCCTGTGTGAAGAGGGCTGCCAGTCTGTGTGCCTGCTGGGAGCCAGGAGCACCTTCCTGAGCTCCTTCCTCCAGGGACTCCAGGACACTCAGGGTAGACAGCGGCTACCAAGTTGGCCCTCTGGCACCGTCACCAGCCCTTTCCTGGGTGCTTCCTTGCTGTTGGGAGCATGTGTCCTTAGGCTGGCCTAACCACACGTGCCACCTAAGCTGAGAGGATCTGCAGAGTCGGAGCTCTGGAGAGAATCTTACAGATCAGCTAGGTATCATTTCCAAGTAAGTCAATAAATAAGACTGTCTCAGGTAAAATCTTATGTCAGGAAGGAAATGGGTTGTGGTGCCCTGAAGAGATCAGACTTCTGTCTGCCACAGATGCGTTCTTCCACAAAATCCACGGTTTCAGGCACCTGGTGAGGATGAAGGTGCTGTCCAACACTCCCGTTGCAGATGGGGAAATTGAGGCTTGGAGAGAAAGCCGGTGTGGCCTTGATTAGCAGCTCAGTGGCAGACCCCAAGAGGGGGCTGCACATCTTCCACTTTCTTGTCCTTAACTGCCTAGCATAAGCCTTCTGTTTGCCAGCAGATGCTGTGGGACACTCTCACATCCAGGCTTGGCACAGATCCTCACTAACGGGCCTGGCATTAAGCTCATTGTCCTGCCCTGTCTGCTGTAGATGGAAACCCCACCTTCTCAGCCCACCCACTGTGTACACCGGGCATAGCCCAGGCCTGAGACTCCCCAGTGCCAAAGCCCCACCACACATCCTCCCGATGGAGGAACCCACATCCTCCCCCAAGAGCCCAGGGAAACCCACCTTTGCCCTCAGGTACAGGGCTGTGACGATGACCCCGTAGATGAAGAGTATTCCGTCTAGCAGGTAGCAGAGTTTGGGATCCAGCAGACCAAAGCTCTGTGCCTCTGTGCCAAGAGAGAAAACTATTAGCTATGTTCAAGCTTACAGGAACACATCCCCCCTACCCCAGGTGGACTTTATGACAGATTGTAGCCAAAGAAATCATAACAAGGACACCAGATCCGATCCTCAGACCTCACACAGACCACAGGTATAGCCAGAGAGCCTGGGAAGAATGGAGCGCGGTTGACTTGGAGAAAGATAAAACTGTCCACGGTCCACAAAACTTCTGCTTTGGTGACATGAAAGCCCAGCTGTAAGTGAGACCTTGCATAAACTATGAACTCTAAGCTTCAGAAAGGTACCTAGGTCTTGGTAACTAAGGTCCACCTACAGAGAGAGCCCTAGGGGCTAAGAAAAGTGGGGCTCAGAGCCCTAGGGGCTTAATAATTGAGTCAAATCATCTCAGTATCTATTCATTGTCAGTGAAGTCTAGGTGTAGTGGCACACATCAGTAATCCCAGCACTGAAGAGGCAAGAGGATTGTGAGTTCGAGGCCAGCCTGGGCGATGGAGTAAGTTCCAGGGAACCTACACTTTTCAGCTCAGATCCTCAGTGTATTTAGCCATTCTCACTAATTCAGTGGGTTCCTAACTCCTCTCATCTTGCTGATGTTTGTCACTGCGCTTAAAGCGTGTGTGGTTAGCACTGTCGCTGGATAAGAAGGGTTGGGTGGGAGGCGTGAGGGAAAGGAAAGACGGTAGTTAAATAGAAGCTAGCTTTCCTATTTGAAATACCACAGTGCAAGCAAGCAAAGCTTGACTGAGCTCCTACTGGGTAAGTGGGCAGCAGCGGGACCTGAGGACCTACCCAGTGTCACAGTCACAAAGCCCTCACTCTGGCCCTGCCTGAGAACCACAGAAGCAGAGGGAGGTCTCTATGGCTTTCCAGCATGTCTCCAGGGGCAGGAGCGCCCTCTGGTGGCTGCTAGCCAGCCATGTTGGGGCAGAGACGGTGGGTAAGGTGAAGAGAGGCGCTGTCTGTCCTAAGCCTCGGCTGTGTGATTTTGGGGGCAAGGTATCCTTCCAGCTGCCTCTTCTGTGAAACAGGTTAAAAGTTAAAAGTTTGTTCTGCGTTATGGCTTCGAGTGCAATCACTACGGCGCTGTCGGATCGCCGCCACCGCCAGAAACACACGGAGAACTGCAGGTATGGATCGCTTGCAGCTGCCCACACGTGCCGCGGAAGCTGGAGACTTAACTCTCGTTCACTGTCCCCGTGCCCACCTCTCTGAACCCCTCCATCTTCAGCCTTTCACGCCAGCTCTAGTCCAGGATCCCTCCTGGCCCCAGACAGAAGATGTCTTTGTCAACTTCCCGTAGTCCCTGCTCAGAAACCGTTGATGACCCAGACCCTTCAAAGAAGGCGGGAATTCTGTGCAGCCCCAGGAAAGCTGTGCCTTTCCAGACCAAGCTGAAAAGAACTCGCTACCACCCGGTCCCTTCTCCAGCTTCCCATGGATTCCAGGCTGGCCTTGAGCTTACTATATAGCTAGAGACAACCTTGAATTTGTAATGCTCCTGCCTCCACATCTGGAGGGCTGGGATTTACAGGTGTGTACCACCATGCTTGGTGGTTCAGGGGATCACACCCAGGGCTTCATGCTTGGCAGGGAGACCCTGGACCTACTGAGTCACATCCCAGCCCGTCCTGTCCTGTATGCCCTGTGCTCCGTTATCCTCACAGGTGCTTTCCTCTGCCCATCATGCCCACCTTTCTTCCCCTGGCTCCGCCTCTGGGCCACCACTGCCAGCTCTGCCCCACACCTGCAGACATCAGGCCCCTGTCCGACCGCCAGAGTCCCCCAGGGACAATCGATGGGTGGTGGAGGTTGCAGAGCCTATATTCCCGTATAGTCCTCTGGAAGTTCAAACTTCCCTTCTCGGGCTGTAAGCACTGGAGGCCAATGGCTGCATTTCATTTTGCTTCCTGCCCCACCCCCAACACCATGCCCAGGACGGGTATTCATCAAATGTCCTACAGTTGAGAGGAAGGTATGTTCCAATGACGGGCAGAGGCTAGGCCCCAGCCCCAGGCCGCTCTTTGCTCTAATAATGGTCCAGGAGCCCCTAAGAAGCCAGTCACCCTCACCACCCCCCCAGTAAAGGCTCCCAAAGCTGGAGTGACATTTTCTTTTAGGGCTGGAAAGATGTCCGTGGCGATTTACAGGGTGGTTGAGATTCATAGAGAGAGCCAGGAGAAAATCGCTCAGGTGCCTGCCGTGTGAAATGAGAACAGGAAAAAAAAAAAACGCTGGACAGTAAATTTAGAACAAATAAGAAGAAATATCTCTTTGTGTTGTGCAGAGTCAGCACAGTAGGGGGGCAGGCAGAGAGTGGGGCGCCCTCCCACCCCCGAGGATGAGTAATAGGAACAAGGGTTCCTACTCTCTTTTCAATGAGCAGCTTAGTTTTATGGCCAGCCATGAAAGTGCAGCATGTGGGGCTGGCCAGGAAGGGGCCTGACCCTTTGTAGGGACTGTCACTTCCCCGGGTGCTATAGTGTGCGTACTAAGAGGGGTGGGCCTGGAGAATGTCGTGATAGCCCAGAAAATCCCACACAAGACTGGGGACCTGTGTCAGTCACACGGTTTATTAATGGTTTGTTGGGCCTTGGCTCCATGCCAAGGGCTGCAGCCCTAGAAAAGAGACTGGGTTGGGGGCAGGTGGCCTCCACTGTTTCGCCTGTCGCTCACTAGCTGTGTGGTCCCGGAAAGTAGGGACCTCGCTTCTCTAGGCCTAAGGACCCCTGTCCGTAAAGCGGGGTGGGGGGCACTTTCATTTACCTTAAGGGCTGTGGTGAGGATGCTTCGGCAGGTGTAAATGGCGGGTTTTCGATTTCCCCTAAAAGGTCGATGGTGTCGGATATTCGGGCATTCACCCCAGCAACAGCCCTTCACAGTGCCACTTGTCATAGTGATTGTGATATCGGCCAGCTGTGTCCCTGTCCCCCTCCCACCCGTGACCACCTCCTCCCCTGAGCCGCTTGTATACCCTAATTCACATCCCTACTCCATCCCACGGCACGCACAGCACTCCTGCTTCCCAGGAGGTATTTAGGGAACTCCTTTCCTGTACAGTGGGAAAGCCATTTTATCTTCTGCTCCCACCCATACTCCAGATCCACAGTCCCCAGGAAAAACCCAGTGCCTGAGAGAAACCCCAGGGTTTTAGAGCCCAGACCTGTGAGCCTTCCTGCCTGTTAGAAGGGCTCCCTGGGCTCCCTGTGGAGGTTGACTGAGCCAGCCTGGGCTAGGGCCCGGGTAGGAAGACTTCAGTGCTGGCTGGGGAGAGCCAGCATCCCACGGAGCTGATACAGCCCAGAATAGGAAGAGGGAAATTTGGCCTTCCAGAGCTGTGCAGCCATACCATCTACACAAGAGAAAATGTCACCCATTGGAGAAGAGAACCACACGCATGCTCTGTCCCTCTGCTCTAAGGCAGTGGCTGCATGCTCCTGCCTCCGAGCATCTCAACCCTCTGTTTCCCCACTGTATGAAGAGGGTACGATTACATATCCCCTTGTTGATGGAGGATTAGGTATTGCCATACTTACCAGGTGAGGGACCCATTTGTTCCTCATGATGCCAGCTAGCACGGTCACTTCTATTTATTTGACTTTAAGACCATGAGTAAAAGCTGGTGTCTCTGCCTTGGGGCAGGACACCTGGAATAGACCGTGGGAGACACTCACTCGGTGGAGACCCTCAGGGCAGCTAGCGACAGTTCCAGAAGTGTCTGTCAGAGCACCTGTCAGCTCGGATACTAATGTCCTGGGTCATTAGCAGGCGTGAGTCTAGCCATCCCTGAACACGCTGTAGTCACCCTCACAAGAGCCCTGGTTCAGGTGTCGTGGCGTTGAGCATCAGCGGGAAGCTTTTAAGGCCCAGAGGGCAGCCTGGGGAGACAGGAGTCCTAGGAGAGTCTCCTTCCTCCTGTGGCATGTACTTGTATCGTGATGTCAGGGTCTCTCGGCCGGGATCGTGCTTCCGACATCAGGAATTAGGTTTTCATAAGCCCGGCCCTGTCATAGCTGCTGACACACCCTGCTGGGTCCTCACACCAAACTCTTCTGGTAGCAAATCCGGTTGAGGAGCTGGGTATCTGCTCGACTACCTCAAACCATTGGACCACAGCTTCTGCTGTTAAAAAAATGACTTCCCCCTGAGTCTGCTCAAGTCTGACTCTGAGAAAGAGTCCAGAAGGCAGGTAGAAAAAAAAAAAAAAAAAAAGAAAAGAAAAAGAGCTTTTGTTGGGCCCAGTTCACAGCTTGATAAACTGAGACCACCAGAAGGTTGAAGTTATTTCATCAGGAACACCTGCCAGTTAATGGCAAAGCTGGAGTGTCCCCTGACTCTGGACACTTCCTTGGCCCTCTGTCAAGGATAATCTCGTCTCTGGTGCAGGCTCCAGAAGTCCCGCCCACCTGTGAATGCACAGCCCTTACTTGGGACACTTAGTCACAGCAGTGTGTGAGCATGTCACTTGGTGCATTCCTCTTCAACCAGGCCGGTTCAATCTGGTTTTCCTCACCTGGTGCATCTCTAGCCAGGAAATGTGCAGAAAGAGCGTAGGCCTCCAAGGTAGAAAGACACTCAGAGACAAGGTTGGAGTCTATTTCTCGTTGGCTTAGTGTTTGAGAGATTTCTTAACTCTGAGCGTCAGTCCCTACCTGCAAAGATGATTTAATGAGACTGATACCACAGGGCAGGGCTGAGCGAATGTGGCCAAGTGCATGGAGAAGGTCCCTGCATGCTGGTGTGTGCCCACCTTGCAGGTCTCCAGCAGGGTCCTTGTCACACAGAGGCTCTGTAGGTACCAGCGGTAGAAAGAACAGAGGACGGGTCCTCTCTTCCCCTTCATGCTAGGTTTGGGAACAGAAGCCGGGCAGACTTTCCATCACACAGTGGTGAAACCTGGCTCTCAGGAGCACGTGAGGATAAAGTCAGATGGCCAGTGTGTGTGGAGGACCTGGCCCACAGAAAGGCGCCCAGTGTCAGGGCATTC